ATGAGTAATGAGGATGGTATTGATAGCAATGAATGATTTATTCATGTCTGTGTAAGGTTTGTGTAAAAAGTATTCTACTTTCAACTCAACCGATAAGTTTAATAAATACTAAAAAGCAAATGATGCAATGGAATATGTAATAGCCTAGAATAGAAAATTCAGGAAACTTTAACTAGGAAGAAAAAAGTTAATCTGTATTTTTTATAAATACAATTAAGTATTACCAATACAATATTATGCCTCAGAATGTTCAAGACAAGCAAAATACAATTTGTATTGAAATGCTTTCGGTGCATAAGCTGTTAACAACGAGTTTTACTTCATTTTGAAACTGCCATCCTTCCGAGAATATTACTGGCAACACTATAATTATTGGCAAGATGTTTAGTTTTTCTTCTAAAAGTATCCTGGAGGACGTGATTATTTATGTTTATTATATTTAATTGAAGTAATGAATATTGTTTAATCTAACTATGATATCGTAGATATCATTGTTATCTGCAACTATATAGTATTTATTTAGAACAGGGGCTCGGAATTTACCTGATGAATGCCTAAATTCTACAGAAGAGAGAAAGCGCAGTTTTGGCGCCTTTTGATGAGTTAATATAGGATGAGGCTTAACATGGTTACGTTCATCGCTAGTAGAAGGTGGTTGGGATTTATCTGAAACATGCCACATTCAACGACTAGAATGAACGGGAAAATGAAAAATAAGACAAACCATGTGTTCGTGTCATTGTTACATTAATATAATTGTTTGTAACAACGCTTTCACATCATTCCTTTTTAGTACAATAAACATAGCTACAAAAATCCTATTTAAGTATCGAAATTATACTTGTATGGAATATATATTTCTATTATTCTAAAATATTTAATAACATTAAATTTATCATCAATGAAAATTAAAAGTGATAAAATATTTGAATAAAACCAAATATAATTTACGAAAATGTGCGTGAGTGCAGAATACTTTTAAGTATTTGATTATTTCTCCAACAACGATCTCGGAAACGTTTGTGTATCTTTTACTTTCATAAAGGACATAATAAAATTGATATAATTAGTTTCATTTTTGTGGAGAATATTATTATATTCGCAATGTAAAAACGAAAAATAAATGTACGCACAGGTGCGTATAAGTGTTTTTATACTTACGAGCACTGTTTCACGAATTGAAGTTTAAATTACCTTTCGAACTGAGATATATTTTCACATACTTATGTATACATACATGTCCTGTAATCACTTTTTAAAAAAAATGAAAGATCATGTAGAAAATCAATAAGACCGAAGTTTTAGTGGTAAGAGTACATATACAGAAGTAACCAAAAAGTAAGCAACGAATTCGAATACTTAAGGATTTTTCAAAAATTCCGTAATTTAAAAAAACGTTATGACTTTACAGTCGAATCATCTTACGTAAAAGAAAGGAGTAATTAAATGTAACGAGCAATTTTTTTATGCAGTGTGTGTATCAAAAAATGTAACTTTAGTGTTCGTTGTACTCTGTAAATAACAATCAATTAAGATGACAGAACATAATATTATTCTGCTTAATAAATGTTTCTATTCTTAATCGCGAAAGGCACGATTCGGCACAGTGATCCGTCATATATTTGATTGAAAATATGTAATTAGTGTATTATGTAGTTTCTGTAGGCGAGAACGGGGTTGCTTCGATTATGGAAGTTTTATGACGAAGAATGACTGGAAGTTCATTTAACTAACGATGTCGATGAAAAATGAGAAAGGATGCTTATATGATGTGGATGTATAAATCATATAGAATTTAAACACCAGCCACACGCGCACGCACACACGAGACGTATGTATCTTTTCAATCTTCTTAGATCAAAGGGAGATAGAGAGAGATTATCGTGTGATTCGGTAAGACAAAAAAGCTGTAGAAAGTCGAAGCAACTACGTTGTGGTGAAATTTATCTACGTAACGACGAATTGGATACCAACTGTTGGACATTACCATTGTCTAAATACTGCTATAGAAATTCATTACGGTCGTATACTAAACGTGACGGGAGAACAGCAACTATAATAAAGTCTAGTAAAGAATACCGTGAAAATGAGATTCATGTGTATCTCACAATGTATGTCATTACACTGTTCGATACAATTGGGAGAATACGCCCCGTTATGCTTGTTAACGGTTACAAACTCAATCGTTTTCCGCGATTTTATCGGTTGGTTTGCTCAACGGAATTGTTCGTTTGAAAACTTTGAATGAAAGTATTTTATGAATTTTCGATTTTGAAAAATAGCTTAAAAAATAGTTTACAGTTTGCTATTTAATAGGTATTAAATAGCAATTAGGCTGTGATTACATTCTTTCGTGACAATGTGTCTGTATGGGCGCGTTAAGCAATAATGAATCTCTGTTCACGGAAATGATAATAAAACAGCAGCAAATATGAACGAGAGGAACACAGAGAGGGAAGAAAAGTGAACAAGATATGACAAAATTATACACGAGATACGGAGAAGCATGATAAGTAGACTGCGGATGTTCATGCACACGTAGATTCATTAATTATGATCAGCTTTGTTACGATTCTGTTTCGTTACCAGACAATTACGAACGTGTGATTTATTAGTTCGAGTGTTCTACATTGTTATGTTTGGGAATATATGAAAGAATATATATTGTAAAATTCTGAATTCTGTGTGTTTGTGTCTCGTCAAATTCATTTCGCACTTAAATAAATCCTTCAGTAATGGTTATAGTAAGAATAAATTTCACTTTATTGAAATACATACGGTAGTGGCCAATAAAATTGGATTACTTCTAAAAAATACAGTTTTCTGAGTATTTATATATGTATTATATATTGTGTATTATATATTCTTCATATATATTATATGAATATATATTATATATATTCCACATATAGTAGCTATTCTAAAATGTTTTAGCACAGTCTTTTAATAGTTCTACATAATCTAATACATAATTTTACTTAGGCTAACGCTTATGCGAGAGTTGAGCCAGGAACATTGTTATTTGTGGAATGGCGCAATTTCTATGGCTACTACTGTATAGATGTATCTTTTCACGATGAAGTTACAGAAAAGCATAGAGGAAAACTTCGTATGATTCCGTGAACTCTACTATTGTATGACGTATTTGCCCCCCTTTTTAAAGCACCGATATATTCTATTTTACATATCTGCAAACGATACTCATAATCATTAGTTTTGTTTAGATTGCGGATTTTCTCTGCATTTATGGTAAAAATGGATTGGCGAAATCGTAAACAATAGATATTCAAAGAATTTAAGATTATACATATTATTAACAATTCACTAAAATTATTAAATAGAGAACGAAATTTCTATCTTGTTTCTGTGTGTTGCAATTTATGAAAGAAATTTCTATCCTGCATAAAAATCCACAGTCTATGTGCAAACGGTTCGAGACGATGTCATTGAAAATTCGTAAAAAAAAATTCATTTTTGTTTGACAACTGCAATGTAGACTATTGTGTTTTTAATGACTTTACCTTGCACCATTTATATGAGAAGTGATGCGAGAATTCGATATTTTTAAAAAATACAGTATTATTTATCCGAATTGTAGATATGCTCAGTTATTTACAATTCTGCATGTATGTGTGCAGTAACATAGCCTCCAATATTCAATGTAAACAAAATTTGGCAGTTAATTTTAAGTATTTCAGCTTTTGTTAATGTAGTTCAATCACCATTTAACGTGGATCTTGATATGCATGGTAGATATTCAATTAGAAAAACGATTGATAATACTAGGAAATTTTCGACTTACTAAAAATGGATCTATAACAATATGATTGATTTGTGAAATATATCGAATGTTTACTTTGAAGGAAAAAATACAAAAGACTAAATGGAGTTTCAAGTAAAAACTTTTAACATTCTAAGCTTCAGGTGTTTAATTACAATTGAAGATTGTTAAATTCGATGCCATAAGAAGATCAATGAACCCAGATAAAGCGGCATTAAAGATATGTTTAAAAAATTAATGAACATCAAAGTTAAACGGGACCGTTTTAAAGAATATAGATCTTTTGTGATACCTATTACCAAAATATGTAACAGCAGAATAACAGTAGACAATTTTGTACTTCAAAAATCGATCCGTAATCGATTGTATCAAGTTTAGAGAAGTATCAGAGTCTGACTTTATTATAAATTGTTCATCGTGGAAGTGGCGTTAAATATTTTTGTACCCTCGCGTCCGAATTCTGTATATCATCCAGATGTATCGCATAATTTCGGTCGAAGTGCGAGTATTGTGCGTGCGAAAACCCTATATATTCTTCACATATATTACGTGCATGAACATCCGCAGTTTAGTGATAAGGGAACACACCAGCAGGACGTTTATCATAGACTTTGTCAGAGTTTACTAGTAGATTCCGCTTACCTCCGTTCCCTAGCTAGCAATGAAAGCAACGCAATGGTCAATGTGTCAATATACGATCAAACAGGAAAGGCCCGAACGATGAAAAAGTGGAGAACGAAAGAAATGTAAGCAATGCAGACCGAATTGAAGCTAATCCTAATGTTCGGCTCGATTGAGAGCGAGAGAGAAAAAGAAAAGAACAGAAAAGAATAGAAATAGTATTCGGAAACAGAAGAGAATTCATCGCAAGCCTCGCTATTGACGGAATGAAATGAAGCGATGCGCCTTCGGTTATGCAACGTAGAAGAACGTTGTTGAGAGAAAGAAAAGGGTATCGCGAAAACGTTGTAAATTCCGTCGCAGTGTCCTGTAGACAATGGCTCGATCCAACTGTGGTAAACGTCTTGCAATCGCTTAGAAAAACAACGAAACATTTATGAGAGGCTTGCAGTCGCACTGAAAGTATTTTAAGTTCGGGACTGTTCGCTAAGTTTGGAAGAAAAATGTCGATACCTGTTGGTGGCAGATGTTCCACGTGTTGTTCGGTGGTTCCAACGTCACTAGCTTCGCGAAGAGTGGATGACCCCACACTCGTACTAGAAATTGATCCTGGAAGCAGCAACAAGTATGGTTTTGTTGATTCTATGTTGTGCAGTTTTTCATTTTTATTCTAGATACGTTGACTGAAACGTCCTTCGTATATCGATAGACTACAGATTATATCCATTTGTGACAAAAAAAAGAGTAGATCAAATGCAGAAGAATACAAATATTTGAAGAATGTACTGTTGGAACTTGTTTAACTCATTGCAATTATTAAGACGAGAGATTACGTGATTACTTACATCAATATCGGTAAATAGTATTTGTTGATCTCTAAACGAAACTATCATTTAAATATCGTGTTATTTTTTATGAAAATGTGAACTCATTACTGTAGCTTAAGAATCAAAAATTTCTTCCTAATAGTAACATTTATTTAATTGTACAGCAGCTAATTAATTGTACATCAATATTTGGACAGTTTCTGTAAAAAGATATATTTTACCAGATCATCATATCACATATTGATTCTACATTAGTAACAAATCATTATTACTAACAAACGTTACTTATTGGAATTATGTACTTAAAAAGGAATGCAATTTTTATTTGACTTCTTGCAATTAAAACAGAAATTTTCTATTTTACATATAGATTCACAATCCAGTTATTACTTTTGATCGGAAACTGATATCGACTTGCTGCTTGCACCGAAACATCATAAGCAGCAAGTTTTGTTTATGCACTTCACTTATCTTACATACTTCGAGTTTTCAAAATCATCAAAATAGTAGACATTTTGTAATTTTTTTAAATAACGTATGCTTGAATTCAGAAACCTCTTCAATCGTTTCTTATGAAAGAATCTTTACAGCGTAAATCAATCTTAAAATAGAAAATGAGAAAACGGTCAAAATGATTGGCATGTTAGGTTTAGTGTTAAAGGGAATATTATAAATGATAATCGTACCGCGTGCAGTGTGTATACCATTGGGTGGTGCAGATACTTGGCTTGCTTGCATCACTTTGATGGTGCTACTTGAATTCGATTGATGGGTTGAATGCGATGCAGATTGTGGAGCCGTGGAGTGAGAGATCGGTGTTTCCGCAGGCGTACGATTCGTATGAACCCTAGATCCATGGTCACCGGTCAGAAGATCGATCAGCAATGATGGTCTTTGAGTGCGAGGCTGTCCTTCGTTCGAATGCATGTCTGCCAGGCTTCTCTTTGGTTCTGGTTGAATTTCTTCTAAGTACAACAAAAATGAACAATTATTTATGTACATCATTGATAACTTTATATATCTCACATACTACTATACTATGAAGATGATGAACTCATAACCCTTCATCTCCTAATATCAAGTCAGACTCGTATGAAGATTTTAAACAATATTAACTAAATATGTACAGTGGTGGCCATATACTTAGAATCTTTTGGAAAACAGCATAACTCTTTTTTTACTAAATGACTTGAAGTTTTTTTAGATAATAGACGGATCAGTCCACTAGATAATGTTTAAAATGTTTTTTTAAAATTCTGTTATTACTTGGAGTAACAAAAAAAAAATAAAAAACTTTCATTTTTTAATGAACCTATACCGAAAATTTAAAAGATGCTTTTTGTACATCTCGGTAACTTATGTGCATGGAGAGAGATCGGATGATCTTGATATGGACTGTAAATAATTAAAGATCGCGATTTATGACACGTTTGACCAGTAACTGAGAAATCTGCAGTTTTTTTTAAACCTTTCAATGCTTACAGCTTGACTCTGCATTGACCGATTTCAATGAATTTGCAGTATACATATAAGTTACTGAGATCTACAAAAGGCATTTTTAAAATTTTTGTTCAGTTAAAAATGTTGAAAAACATGAGTTTTCTATTTTTTTATGTCATTCCAACTAATAGAAAAATTAAAAGAAAGTTGAATCATTTATAAAACACGAACTAAAAGTATACAAACCGAATCTACGCTCTTCTATTACTTCCTTGAGATCCTTCAATTCGTGAATAAGATCAGTCAAGAGAGTACTACGAGATTTCGGTACCGTATTAGTATCTCCGTTAATTTTTGCACGTATTGTGCTCTGCATGTTTCTCTCGTGTTCCGAAATCGGTGCCTGGCCGATTTTGTGCACGGTGAATGGAAGCATTTGAATGTATAAAGCGGTCCGATGAGTTACTACAAATTCTATAAAATTCCAAAGATAAGTGGAGGCTTCGTTCCGCTTATTTAACAAACGCATTGTGCGTAATATCCTCGGCCATTCCGTCTTCAATTCCGTCTCGAAGCATATAGTCATAATTTTCAAAGCTGTTGAGAATCGATTCAAGCATTTCATTAGAGATTTATTGGTCAAGTTTCTGATAGTGCTCCCACAACTTAAGATACGCTTAATTACCTAAGAAGGCCACTTGATACAACGTCAACGACGTTTTCGTTAAAGTCTTTGAATCTCGTGCTACAAATGTTACACTACCCGCTCTCATATCTGTCGTGGTCTTTAGATTTTGGCTGGTTACTGGCACTGACTTCGTAGTCGGGGGCCACAGTGTGTTCAACACTGCGGTCAAAGCAAAATTTATGTCCGATTGCCTTAGTTTTTGTACATCTGAAAAGACATTAATGGGATGACGTGCATTGTTCTTTCTGACAATATAGAAATTTTTCTGTATTATAGTTAGTTTTTTATATATTATCATAGTTCATTATTTACTTCCAAAATTAAAGAGCACATATTTCGTAGAACACGCGTTGCAAGACATTCGTACGAGTCCGTTTACAATATAGACGATACAGATAAAATACAGGAAGAAGGGAAGCTTATGAAACTAGTCAAATCCAGTTTTAATTAATCGCATCGACATAGCTTCTGCCACGTTGCATAATGAAACACTGTCTGTAGAATTTGTTTTTACATTTGATTAAGCTGACACTTCAATAATAAATAGCTGACTAAGAACGACAATGTTAGCTAAACAAAAGTGACTGAATATTATGATAATTTTTAGATTTGACGGCGATAGACGATTTTATTATTTTTTCAATTTATTTTCCATTTTATCTAATACTTCCACTTTACCTTTTCTTCCAGTTCCGACGCGTAGGAACAGTGGTATTAATAAGTTAAGTAGTGTATTCTCCGTTCGAGTTTGAGTAGCAAACATAGAGTGACCGCCGCATACATTTTCAAGGGTGTACCCTTCACCAAGGGATATAACATGAAGCGCTATCAATCGAAGCACCGTCGAGCAAAAGTGTGCCGGTGGTAGTTTGTTCATTAAAGTAGCTGCAGAAGCCGAAGTTAAATCTTCCACAGGCACGTCTCCATTAATCAAGGACTACGCAAATTAATTAATTACAATCAGTAAATAATTTAAGTGTCACTACGTTAATTAACATGACGTGCGATTGTTTCAAAATATTCAAAACTCTATATTTAATTATATATATAAATAATTTATGATACTCTCTAAACGTTCATATTATATTATTGATTTTCAGACCTTGTAAGAATACACAATAATATGTAAGATGACAAAAAGCGAAGCAGCAGTCATAAAATATCTAATTATTTCATTCGGACTTCAAGGATTGAAATTGCTATCGCGATTTTTGATCAATCTTTTACATATCATACTTAACAGCAATCAATCTTATGTACAATAAAAACATTTTAAGATAGAAATGTGCTTCTATTTAAATATTGTATACGTGTACTGATTCAACGATACCCTTTGTTTTCTTTAATAACCTCAGCTTTCTCACCAATCTCATATTTTTGTTTATTTTATAATAGTCTTATATCTTAATGAAACTAATTTTGCGAGTTTTTACGTAATACAAGCATCTGTGTAATGCTTTAAGTGCATGAGACTACCTGGCAGGTACTCAGTAGTGCTTTCCAAAATTGAAAATGTACAATGTAGGGACACTTGGCCAGCGTTTCGTAAACTCCTTTCAATAGATCGCTCGCAGCAGTCCAATCTGTATTCCTTCTGATGGAGGCTTTTTTATGGATTTTGCTAAAAGTTTTGTCGAGCCTTTTTAAAATCAAAGTTAGCGCAGGCCTCATATCATCGTTAGACCATTCGGTTGATGGTAGAATATCGTTCATGTATCTTCTTAAACCGCGACATCCCATTGTCACGGGGTCGTACGGGGATATTTTCAATAGGGTATACGCGATCTCTGCTAATCGCTGTTGGGTGCATACAAAACAGTATTAGAAAAATCAATTTTTCGTTTCTAGTTAAATATATTATACGAAGAACGTCATTAAATGAAGGAATCATTGGTAAATAGTACGTTGCTAATATTATTTTGTAAGGTACTTAGGAATAACCATTATTTGATGCACGTTAAATAATAGGTTCGAACGTGTAAACAAATTATTTTCACTCAATTTTACCTCTCTCGATAAGCAATTTTGGAGATCGATCAGTTTAATCTAAAGTTGCTAATCAAAGTTCGATCAATTATTTGAATTAATTCATTTTCAACAATGGTTCAACACTTACTATATGACATTTCGTGTCCAATAACTCGATCACCTTTCCGTCTTGAGACTTTTTGTTTAATTCTACCAAACGAGCCGAACACCGAGATACAAAGTCACCAACCATGTTTAAAAGTGTATCGCGTGGTCGACGAAATTCATTTTTATGGCAATTCTCTGCGTCCTCGTTATCTCGGTCATAAATGTTTCTCATTTTGGTGTGCTCCATGTACTTTGTACTGTGCGTTTCGTCTTCGAAGTCAAAACCAGGCGAATATGGAACCTTGCCATAATTTCTCTGGCTAGATCCTTTATGTTCGGGACTTGATTTTTGTGGGCCGTTATAATACCTAATGGAATAGAAAGTCCTCGGTGTAGTTATCAATCTAAATAGTAGTTACGACAAAAGATAAAACCGAAAGCTATTTCCTATTAAAGTTAAACAATTTCTATGTCAAACAATCTTATCTTTATACATAAACGAGTCATCAATATCTAAAGTAAGTAAATCATCTAACGACAACCGTAAAGCATATTACTTAATTTATGCTAACGTATTAGAACAGTGAAACTTACTTCGTAAGTGCCTCGGAGTTATTAACCAAAGTTTTAACAGCTATGGCTAACTGATCTATTATTTCTTTCTCGGTTCTTCCATCTCTGTTGTAAGTCGGAGATTGGATTTGCTGAACGTAACATGGTAGTATCGCTTCCAATGTAATCTATCGAATCAACAATAGTTTACGTATTTATACGTAATAACGTTTAAATATCTTCATGTATATTTAAGCAAAATTCCTATGCCTTACCAACATTTGCTGTCCTCTAACAGAATCAGGCGCGTACGCTATCACCATCACACAAAGGGATATGCAGTCTAAAACATTGACCATCTCGTTTTCATCGTGATAACAAAAATCAATTGCTTTCAGAGGCTTTTCTTCCTTAACCAATTCGTCTATGTTCAAAGGGTCTGGCGACGGGGTCTCCAAACTTAGTAGCAAATTAAATAAACACGTGGCAGGAACCTTCAATCATATAGAAAATTATGTAAACTTTACATTTATGTCTTCGACAGCTGTCTAACTAATTATAAAACATTCTTTTTTGTCTCTTTTGAGTACTTTGAATGGTATCAAATGAAATTATAATATAATTGTGCTTTCAATCAATGTTTAGAATTATTATCTGAAACAATGTTTGCAGACGTTTATTTATGGAAAGTTTTATTTTTGTATTTTTAATAATTATTTTATTGATCTTTGAGACTGTCTATATATTGACAATGTTTATCAGGTGCTTATTGTACAATAATAATTAATTTAATTTGTGCAGAAATTATTTGAATCTATTCTATACTTAAAAATGCTACGAGTTTTTTTATACATAGACTATCTCTTTTGATATGCTTTTAAATAAGAATTATTTCAGTTTCTTTTTTTAATATTTTTATACCAATTAATTGAGAGAATAATCAATGACTGAATTTAGAAGGAACAGAAAAAAATGAAAACTTTCAAATTGATTGCTTAAGAACCTTCTAATCGTGTAGAAGTTTAGTATGATGAAATACCTTGTGCGCTTCCCCATGGACACTAGTTTCATCGGTATCTAATATCGTCGAAACGCTTCCGAACATTTGTAGGATGAAGGGCTTCCGATTCATAAGATAGAATTGTTTGACAGCGTATTCCACGGTAGTCGTCACTAGTTTGTTCGTCTGATGAGTCGAATACAGTTGCAGTAACGTAGGTATAATCAGCAAGTATCCATTGGTTGAGAATATATTCTTAAAATTGTGAGCTGCGTTTATGTATGTCGCGACAACGTAACGCAAAATGCAAGAGTCCTCGCTGTGAAGAATTATCGCGCCGTTCAGAACGTTCAGGAACAAATGGATGTCCCCCGAATAAGCGAAGTTGCCAGCCATCGCCTCAAACATTCTTGCAATTAATTTGACCCACATAAATTTGTGCATTACGTCCAGGCCGAGAAGTTCCTAGATTTCGAAAATATTTACAGAATGAAATATATCAAATATATTCTGAATGCAATTTGATGGCAACGAAATTAAGATCCAACTAGTTAAAAAGCCTTCCAGCAGTTTTGAAGAAGAGGTAACCTACAGTTTCAGTTCATTGTAATATTTGCAAATGTGTTCTAGATTTTTTTTTATGTTTGTTTCTTTCCGGTATTCTTATTTATGAATAATATCTATTTGCACGGGAATGTACGAATGTGCTTTTGATAAAAAGCAATCAACTGATATCTTGAACAATTGGTAATTCAATTTTTGGTGACACTTACCCTGCCAATTTCGCCACCTTTGTACAAGTCCAAGTCTGCTTCCAAAGCCCGCCTCGGAAATGAAGGCAGCTTCATTAATTCTTCGTGAAGAAAGACAACCCTTTGCACCACCATGTCGACGTTCTTTAAAATCGCCCAAGTTAGCAGTACTTTCCCAATTTCAACAAATTTGTGCACCAGTTCCTGACGTTGCAAAGCGTTGAACGCGTCCTCCGGTTTCATGTGAACTATTTCGATTTCAGAAAATTGAGATCTTCCTTTGAAGAAATAGTAATCCCGAACGTACGATGACGGATTGCGAATTTGGTCTGGAATTAGAACAATGACCGTTCAATGACTAAAATAACTAGACCACAGACTGTTATGAAAAATAAAACTTATTTGCATTAATTGCATAATGTAGACACTGCGTTGAAATTTGTTCCTTTCGTTAATCATTTTAATAAATCAAAAATAATACAATAGTATTTGTAAATTCTTTAAGCGTTTCTACTATTTTACATTCGATTCGCTCGTTATTGTCGTAAGTGCATAAACTCTGTGCAGTCCAATAATAAGGAACACTATTTGAAATCAGAATTGAGCATTACTCGAATTCTTTCGAGTAAATATTAATCTGAAATGATTATTCGAATGAATTCTTTTTTGTCGACTAACAATTATTCGTAAATTATTTTATCTATTTATTTGAATAATTCTTAATTTTTTATCCGAATAAATTATTCGAATAGAGATAATAAAACAATTTGAATAAATTATTTGAATAGAGATAATAAAATGACTTGGACAATAATGCGAATATTATGCAACAATGATCTACCTAAAAGTAATAAATTTTACGATGCAGCAATTGAAAAAAAAGTTAATTTTCCGAAGTAATTCCTCTACAAATAAATTCTTATTCGAACAACAAGTGACTTCTTATTGGAATGAACTTCTATTCGAACAAAATTCTGGCCAACTTTGTTTAAAATAAAAGCTCCAAAGCCTTTCGGATGCATTCATTTTTGAAACAAAACGAATTTGATACGAACGTGTTTTATAGTCGACGAGGAAGTACTCGCGTTGTTTCCCTTCTTCGATACCGAAAAAGCTTAACGATTCCCGAAGTATCTGGCAAAACTGTGTGTCTTCTTGCACTGGGAATTGCGTAGGAATTCCTCCCGCATCCGGATCTTGAGGACCGTGGACAACGATCTTCTTCGCAGATGGAACGTTCGCAGTTAACAAAATCGAGGCGTCGCACTGTTCTTTTCGTAATATTTGTTTCAGATCTTTGAACATTATTCCGTGTACACTGTGGACTACCTGCGTAACAACGTATTTTACATGAATATAATATTAATCATTGGAAATTGTTTAATATGCTAATGTATATTAACCTTCAGACGGCGCATCATTTTTTCAATTGTACAATTCTATCATCACTTTCAGCTTTATTCGTCAATTTTACGGAACATATTTTTGAAGATACTAGATATATTAGTTCTTTTCTTGTTCCTGGTGTATTTGTTCAATAATATATAAAATAATACTTTTGTAATCTTTCAAACGAGGATTTTTCATTTATATGAAGGTGTAATACCACTTATAGGTAAATTCGTTCGATTGTTTAATTTGTGAATGTCAAAAATTGAGTCTAAATACATTGGGTCAAAATGATCCGGTAACCGCAGACCGAGGGTTAACATATAGCCTCGATTATCCGAACCTCCGATACCTTAATTCTTTATCAACCGAACACGTTTTAGATGTAGATAGATCAATCCAAGATGGTCCACGTTAGACACTATTCATTGTACAAGTCAGTAAAAATTTAACACAGCAATATAATAAAATAAATAATTCTTAAATTCTTTTATTTGGACACTCATATCACCCTGATTAGCTCGGACAACCGAGGTTCTACTGTATAAACCCTTCTACGGTGTTACAGATTTATATGATTCATTTATATGAATTACCACTTTATTCGAGTTAAATTTATTGACTTTTATTATTTTCGACTAATAAATCTTTAGTTTCATTTATATCGCTATATTAATTATTATATCCTTTCATAGGGCTTGCTTAAGCTTAGAAACATTGTACTATAGCGCAGTTTTCATTTTGTTGTCGACACCATAGAAGGATTAAAATCGTAGGGTATTAAAAGAACAGTTTCAAAACTCCAATTACCATCCATAATATGGATAATGCTGTCCCAATTAATTTTTGACCTTCTTCGTGCGGTGAACGCACATAGAACATGACGTATCCAATAATGTAATTGTACAAGGCAAAGGCAGCTTGTTGCGGCAACTTCGGTACAAACCGAATTAGGTGCCTTAAGATTTTAAACATAAGTTCCTGCTTTTCTCTCGTGAGCCGCTCCAAAACGTAGCGGAGAAACAGAGCGCTGTCTTCCACCAAACAGTTCCAGATTACCTAATAAGGAAACATGCTATTCATTTTGTTGCGCGAAAGTATTTCTCTTTACGACATCAAATCATTTGGTACGAGCTGGTGATTCGCTTGTCGTAAAAAACGAGATACGACACAGCGAGCTGGATGCTGAACGAATTATGTGCACAAACATTTAAATAGTAGTATTAATGAATGAATAAATGCTTTTGACTCTTTACCCGAGATGAAATAACGTTTCTTCACTAGACTGTAAAGATAACAAACTATGTTAGCAGTATGAAAAAGCGTAGATAAGTACATTTTTAATACTGTTAACAAAAAGGATAACGACGGAGATCATTCTGTTGTGTTTCGTTTTCAACAATTTGTATTTCAGTAGTTTAATTTTTCCATTTAACTTTTCTGAAGTAAAAACTTCTTAAATTCAGTGTTCGGTTTTGTGTTCTTTGTTCTGTGAAACGATTGTCTTGTGATCTTCTGTGGAAGTCAGGTTTGTTCATCGTAAATTTAAACGAAGCGAAATTGGCATGTGAAGCGTTCCATTGAATTTCTTACTTGGTAGGCGACTTCGTAAACAGCGCTTCCGTCGTCAGAAACAGCAGCATCATCAAGTAGGTGAATAATTTGGACGATCGCCGAACATAACGAAGAGGGGAACAACGAGGGTGCAGACTGACTGTGGTGAGATGTGTTCCGCGCTATTGTTTCACCTCCGTCTTCGTCACCGACGTTCCCTACAGTAAATAAAATGAATTCCTTTCCAAAGGTTGCAAAGAAATGAAAGCCTCACGGTAGCTCGCATACTATACGAATGCAGAGCAACAGAACCGCAATGACGAAAGATCAACATAAAGTGAGACACGGGATTAACAGCCCGGAGCCACATAAAGGAGTCAGTTCCTCAGAACAACGAATACATATGACAAGTTATAGCTTTCTGATCCATTTCCGTTGCTAAAGACCTCCGTTGTCGATGCGACGTTAAAGGAACCACAGAAGAAGAAGAAGAAGAAGAAGAAGAAGATTCCTTTCCAACAGACATACCAATTATTATTTGTAGATTCGTAAATTATATAGAATGAAAGAAGGGTCTATGAAACATCATACAGAACATAGCGAAGGAACAGGGAAAGTAAAAGATAGTCCAGAAAGATTAGGGAAGAAGAGATACTGTGAAGTATCAGTCTAGTTCAGTGCAGCAGTACAATGCCAGAAAAATGCGTCACTAGAAAGAAGTACAGCCAAACGAGAGTATATAGGACTGGATATGAATCTGCTTTGTAACTGTACGAGTATAGAAGAATTATCAACAAAATATGGGCTAGAGAAATTACAAAATTATTTCTATACGTAATTATTGAACGGTCATCGAGATGAAAGAAATACCATCCTTGTGTACAACTTGTGTGTACCACTTAAATCTTGTCCTATTTGTTCACAGTAGCCTGAATGGATGTAATGTCATTGTTCTCAACAGGGCCAGAGAGCAGTGCACTAAAGTGCGATAGATGTTCATGTTTACACTAATAAATCGAATAGCGTCGATCGTACAGATATCAACAATCATGGTGTAATTCAGTATTCACCTTCGTCGTGGTCATCTCCAACAGGACTAGGTTCGTACGCCGCTTGCACGGTAATGGGTATAGTTGTGATCAAAAAGTTCTCCCTCTCTTCGCGTTTCTTATCGTCTTGCGCCTGTAAAGCCTTTTTTATGAGTTCAGTTTGCTGCTTCTTACGAGTTTTCGTTGCCGTCACCAGAGACCTCTAAGTAATAGTCATAATATACTCTACTTAATCTACTGAAAATCTAAAAAATAACTACACTACCTAGCCTACTGTTAAGCGTCAGGCAGACTTACATGGTGTTCCTGATTGATCGTAACTTCTTCGACCTTCGTCTTGACCTGCGGCATCCAAGGTGGATCGACGACGGGCAAAGACTCAATACCGATTTTCGGAGAAGGCAAAGTGAACTCGATCCCCGGCGGTGGTACCTTGAAGGTATTGTGAGCGTTCTCTTCCATCCGCGGCCATACTTGATACCGTAGCTTCCACAGAACTTGGAACCGCAGTATCGCGTTTATTCGCATGCTCGCTATACTGTGCTGCAGACCGTGGTGCATCAGCTCGCTCGCTTGGTTCGGCGCACGCACGGCTGCGACTATGAACAAAGACGCAGCCGATGCCGCGACTTCTTGGTTCGATTCTAACAGAAGCTCCCAGGCGACCGGCAGAACGTCCACGAACAATTCCTCTGTCATCACCACCGCTCCTTTTACCAACGTGGCCAACGGCGCATGGAACACGTCTTTCACTTGAGCCTTGATGTACTTCAAGATCGCCGGACTTTCCTTCTCCGATTCTTCTTTCTGTGATTGTTTCAGACATTCTTTGCCCTTCTCGGAATCTTGGTCCGCTAAATCCTTCGACGAGTCTCGTTGCGTTAATCGACCGGATTGGGATCCATCTATGTTTTTATCAATTCTATACCAAGAATAAAAATATATGTTCTTAAGAATAGAGTTCGGTATTATACGGCTGAACACACAGTATACAGATTTGTTTTGTTGCTAGATACAGAGCGTTCGAATTTCTGCGCTTTGGAACATGCGGAAGTATAGTATAAGGTAAAGTAATCACACTATTTAAATACTATTTTACTGCCAGTGGAGGAAACTATTCGATCGAACCAATCAAGCGTTTGTTATTATTTTCCACGTCGAGCGTACGAATAATAATAACTTGTAATTATAATAATAGTTATTATTATTACTATTACGAATAATAATAGCTTATAATAATTATTATTATTTGTACGTTCGACGTGGAAGATGTTTTCATTAATGATAGAGGCAAATAGTAAAATTCGTTATGTAAATTAAAAATTTTTTAGCAATCTTCGTTGTTATTTTTGTTGTTCGAAGTATCAGAAATTTGTTGGGTTGTTACAAACTTGGATTCGTAAATGTCTCTCTTATTATTCAGAATACAGAAAAATTTCAAGAAGAAACATGATTAGGTTTGAACAGATGAATGTTGTGACCAGCAAAAATGTCTCAAGCCCAAATTTGTCGACACTTCGTGACCAATACATTTTCCAATGAATTTTCTGTTTATTTATATAATATATTTATAAAACATATTAATTTTCCATTTTACTTTTATCTATATTTTTACATTCTTGTTATTGTCACATAATAATCAATGAATTTGAAGGTTTGTAATATTATTACATTTGTATACTCTCGAGAACAAAAAATTAATTTTATGATGATGTTCATTAACTTCGAGATATTATTATAGATGATACATCAATGTTTCTGTACCAGTTTGACCATTGTAGTTTCTCAATTATACATACGTGTCAATATTTTAATTTGATATTTAAGGTCAATATAATAATTAATATGTAGTTATTTTTGTCTCGTAACCGAGACAATATTTTTCTTTCCATTACGTAACAGTGATAAAAGTATACAGAGTTCCATTCCATAAAAGTATCGGTGCCTTTGAAATTCAAAAAATGTAAACTTCAGAAAATTGTTTAACTTATTGCAACGTATGCCCTTTCGGTCATAACCAAATTCTCTGACATTTCCCCTATTGTCAATAATAAGTGAGACATCCAAGCACAAATTAGTTGTGCATAATGTGCATACAATACAATTCCTCATTTTCAATGAACATCCACATGATTCTTCAAAAAATCACATCCACAGGTTCGATCGAATATTCTCCGCCAGGGTAGATACTTTTAAAAATTGATTGAGAAATCTGGCCGCCTGCACGACTATAAGCAAAAAGTACCTTCTCAAAATGCAGTAAAGATACGAACGGAAGTTGAAAATTGATGCATGGCTAATATTTCCGAGATATATCGAAATCTTAGCATGCAATACCGTGCAACCTGTTAAAGTAGTAGACTAAAATTTTTACGGAAGGTAATTCTTCAAGGCAACCAACAAATGTTACAAGTTTCGAAAAGAACTGGTGACTTCGAGCGAGCTCTGGTGGCGCTTTTATACGAAATTTACGTGTAGTGTAAGAGAATCGATTTGTACAAAGATTACTTGTATTTTTTTCCGACGCTATCCTTCCTTCGTACAGGTGATACTTGTGTGCTGGTCTGCTCGGATACTTTCCGGCTGCGCTTGTCCTTCTTACTAGCCTCCTTCTTTTCCGCGTCGAAGTCAAAGATCCCTGTACCATTTAGAATTCCAAACTTCTCACCGTAAATTTTTCTAACGGACTTGATTAGCCTACTGCTGGCTCGCATCTGACGCCGATGGCAATACGGATGGCAATAGTTCTGATGCGTGCAGTAGAAGTTCAGGGAGTTGGAGAACTGCACCAGCACTTTCATCCACGGGAAATTTTTATTGGTCTCATCGGTTTCGTTACTGTCGCTCGGACTCTCCGGAGGTTGATCGTCGATCAGTATACCCGGAGATTCTTCGCCACTAATTTCACCGCAAAACCCAGGCTCGGATGTGTCACTCCTGTCTGAAAACGAGCTCACTTTCCTCTTCGATTGGATAGAATCGGCTCGTTTCACTGCAACTGATAATTCATCCACGCATTTACCAACTGTACCGCTACATTTACAATTTACAAAACTTATAGAAAGGTGTAAAACAAATATTTGAAATAGTGAGAAGCAAGTAGCTCGTTTCATTTACAAGTCTGCGCAAAAATATATGAAAATTAAGTATTATTACTTTGCTTGCATTCGGAATTTTGAATAGTATTTTTAGACCAGTATTTTTATTCTGATCTTAAACGGTCACGTGGGTTGTCACTAGAATTTTTGGAATCTGAAATTTGTGGGGTCCATTTGGATCCAGAGTGTAAATATTGGTATTTGACTATCTAGTTTCTGAAAATTAATTTGAATTGTCACATGTTTCATTGAAGTCTGTAGTTCATTATAGAAATAAATTGATGAATAAGATTATAAAAGATTTGGAGCATATTCAGTTACATTTTTGTGAAAAAAGTCCGCTGTTCCAGTGTTAGAAAATTCTTTGGAATGTGGCATAAACTGAAGGCAAAAGCGTAAGAGTCAATCGAAAGAACGAAGCAGTATTGCACGTGATCGGTTAAGTTAAGTAATTAGCGCTGATAATAGCTTTATTTTCAAATATTTTGTTAAAGAATGTGAGCTGGAGAAGAAGAGATAGTAAAGAAAGGCTTCCTTCGTGTATATGGAATATAGATGACAAAAGTAGGAAAGGTGTCAGAGAAGAACAGATTAAATATATTACATGATTTCCCAGTAGCTACATACAAGTAGCAAGGTGATGTGCGTAATATAAAAATGTATTATAGACAAAATATAAGTTTTTATATTTACAAATAACCATCGTATAACACGGCACGTAATTATTTAATTTTATCAATTTTAGGGGCTTTGAATACATTTGTTATAATAGTAGCGGTACATATAAAAAGAAATTTCTTAAAAAGTGTCAAAAATATTGCACATTAATCTTGGGTCATGTACTCTATATTTTGTCCTTTATTATCAAACAGGGTAATTAAACGACTTTAGTTAAGATCATTAAGAGATTTATTCCTGTTACTTTCTCTCGTTTATGTTTTTTTTCAGGAAACTGTACAAAATTTGTAACGTCAACTGATAAACTGTCAAGTTTTTCGTTTAATTCACGCGTGTCTTTGTTAAAATAATACACCCATTGTTTTTAATTTTGTGCCTATATTATAAGAACAACGTGTTATACGATGATTATAAATTGATTAGTTAAACTGCGTTGAACATGAAGTATTTCAACTGGAACAAAATTCCGGCATCAAGCGTGGAATGTCCCGTGTGTATACGTGTGTGTGTATGTCAGAAAACTTGCAGTGATCAGTATGTTAAAATGGGGTAGCAGGCCAACAAATGTACTCCACCGTAAGGTGGTTGCTCTTCTGCAGGCGTTTCTGGTACTTGATTCGCAGGGCATAAAAACAGCTTATAATTAAAAAAAGTTGTACCTTATCGAATATATGTGTATGGGAACATTATTATCGCTTTAATGTACGGAATCGACCTTCCGAAAGTGTCCCTACCATTTTTGAAGCGCTCTGTATGTATGTAATATGTCTGTACGGAAACTTCCGGTGTGTTTTGTGTCTGTATCTACGTACCAGCTATAAGACAGCTTCTTAATCTGTCTGGAAGTATCAAGAAATACGAATGTAGCCATTCACATGTTTATAAGAACGTTTAAAAAGTGGAATTTGAGTAGAAATGTTTCACATTGCGAAGTTATTAGAGAAATTTCACGAGCAGTTCATAGAAATTTTATGTATGTTAGGTTCTAAAATGTTTCTACAGATGTTCCAGAATTCCTATTACATTCCCGAAGTGATTTTAAGAGACTTTCTCCTTAGCGAAAATGCTGGTTGCAGCTTCGTCAACGAGTTATTAACGAAAAACACGGACCAATCAGACAGCGAGTACAATTGCTGCGAACTGGCGCTATGCTATGGGCGCGTGGGCGGGGCGCGCGCCAGCTGTATTCGCTCTCTGATTGGTCCGTGTTTTTCGTTGACAGCTTGTTGACAAAGCCACGGAGAACAGTCTCGCAAAGGAGAAGGTGTTTCTTCAAATCACTTCAGGAATCATTCCTTGTAACGGGAGTTTTGGGACACCCCAGCAAACGCTTTCGTTAGTTGACACGAAGTTAGTTTCGTTGGTACTCACAGGCTTCGCACTCGGTGTCTTTGCCTTCCTTGGTGTCGCGACGAAGTTTCAAACTTCTTTTCTTAAACGAACCGGTCGTATTATCCGTGGTATCGCGCCGAAGTAGATACGGCCGAACTTGCGGTGGTTGTACCCGCTTTGCCTTCTCCTTTTCCGCATTCTGGAAATCCTCCCCTTGAATTGTAACAGTCGATTTGCTACTACCTTCTGATTGGTTATCAGGTTCGCAAACAACAAAACTAATTTTGCGTTCTGCTGAAAATTTAATCCAGAGTGATTAGATTAAGTGAATCGAAACAACGTGATGTTCCTTCACTAATACTTACGAGAAGAGGATCAGGAGCGGAAATGCGATTTTTAATGAGTCACGCTTCGAACGTAGACCGCGACGTGTTCGTTTAAATGATTTCTCTCTCGTAAATATGCTTTGTAATATTTCATTTTTTTACAATAATTAATACAATCGCGTAAGCAGATTGTGGCAAGAATGATTGAACAACTAGACTGTTCGTCATGTTCGGTTCACTTCTACTTGAATTAATTCATTTAACATTCATACGATTTATTAATTAATTCATTTAATATTCACATGATCTATTAATTAATTCATTTAATATTCACCTGATCTATTAATTAATTCATTTAACATTCACCTGATCTATTAATTAATTCATTTATAATATTCACATGATCTATTATTAATTCATTTAATATTCACCTGATCCATTAAATAATTCATTTAATATTCATATGTTCCATTTAATACTTACACGATGTAACCTTCTGTACAGGAAATAATGAATTAAACGATTCAAGAGAGAGAGAGAGAGATTGATAATGATTGAAAGATTGTACTACTTTTAGGCTACATAGAGATAGCGATAGATTTAGTATGTATATTCGAAATAAAGAATATTTTAAAGAAAGAATTCAAATTAATGTTCGAACTACTCATTGTGCATGTACTTACATTAATTGATAAATAATGTTCCTGTTTTGCATCGAAATAGAAATTGAAGTATAAATTCTACAACAGCTTTTAAAGTCTAACTACTACAGACACATTGAAATATGTAAATAATAAATAATTTGCAGTTTGAAAGTTTTTGAAGGTGCTGAATTTAATTGAGCATGTGTTGAATATACGTATGTAGAATGTGACAAGTAAAATTATTAGTAATCTGACTTTGAAGAAAGCAATATATTATATATAACAGAATGGGCCAAAGACAAATTATTTCGTTTATGTGAACTTTTAACGTTTAATATTAGCTATTGAAAAACATTTATATTTAATTTCCAAAAGGTCTAACGTCCAAAAAAGGTGAAACTTTTCATTTGAAAATAACAAACGATCACTTTTGGCGATAAACTCGAAAAGTTCGGACCTACGATCTGAAGCTAGACTCATTACAAAACGTATTTCTTCTTCTGACCTTTTCCTTGTTAGCATGTTTTCTCTATAATGCAAGTGTGTTTCTAATTAAACATAAATCATATAGAATTGTCAAATACAGAAACATATTCGAGAAGCGATAAAGACTTGACATAGGCTGAAGGAATAGAATTAGAAAATGTTTTCAAATAAACTGAGCAGGAATAACAAGAAGCGAAAGAAATAGATGAAGGGTGTTTAGATGAGACAGGAAAGTAATGATCACTTCTTTAGTTATGGCAGATGTAAATGAAAATTTTGATCGTGATAAACAGATTCGTGAAGAAATATGACACAAAAGAATTCGTTTTTACGGAGAGACTGGGGAGAAAGATGATTCGATTGCATCAATCGAATGAAAATGAAAGGAGAACTGTCGCGTATGAAATGGAATAATAAAAATAGGTAATTTTTACTATTAGTAGAAATAGGTAATTTACTGTTGACTAAAAATAGAATAAAAAAATACGGAGCCGAGTTGAACAAAAATGGTGGAGTAAAACAAAAGAAGTGTAGTTAGAAGAATCTTTGAACAGTTCCTCAAAAGTGGTAGAAAGAGATACAAGTCGGAAAGATAAGAAAATAATTAAGAGTTATCAAACTAAAGAGTACATAAGAAAAATTAATTGTTTCCGAAGAACAGTGAAATACGTAGAAGATGAAGAAATACAAACATAAAATTGTTTCTTGTTTTACTGTGCATCATATTGGTTTGTAAACCTCTCGCTTCACTCTTGCGGACATTTTGTTGGTCCTTGCCATGTTAATAAAACTTACTTGTCTTTTCCATTCTGCTTCTTCTTTATATCAACGCAAACAACGATTTGTGGTAGATACGACAATTACAAATGAATGCAAAAGAATATGTTCTGTATTACATTAATTTTTAGGATTGCAGAACGCGCGGAAGTCGTGGAAAATGTTTAATTTATACAGTACATGCAGACCACTCATAATTATTCGATCGATTTTAAACTAGTTTCAGTATAGTACCAATTCAAAATGTAATGCATTTTACACGACAAACTTAGTTAATAATTCGTCATTGATTGTTTAGCTAATGTTAATATTTTCGCTAGCATTTCATCGTCTTCGTTTTCATACGTTTATAAATTCGTGATTGTTGATTTAGCAGTCGTTTATGTCGCACGTGACGTTTGCAATTTACGTTCTCTTTTCAAAAACAGAGTAATGATTAAAGTTTCTGTCGTTCAAATAATAATGATCGGTACTGTATGAGAATATATAATGAGAGACATGTCATGAATCATAATATAATAGGGAAAAAGTAACAGAAAAGGGAAGAGATAAGAGTGCCAGGGAAGAAAATATATACGTCGACGAATTTCTCTTTTTACGCACTCGAAAGGTGTGTATGAAAGAAGGGAAAAGAGTTGGAGTCAAGTCAGTGCTAGCAACGGCAAGCATAAACTCAGGAAATGAACAAGACGATGAGTACAAATACCAAGCCAAAGTTTTTTTTTAGGCATTATAGAAGATGTTTTAACCAGTTAGCTGAGTTTGACGAATATACTCGTTATGGAGAAATGGCAATATTTTGTGACATGACGAGTATACTCGTCGTGCGTAAGAAGTAGTAACCATTGGCTATTTAAATTGTAATTTTAAGGAAAACAAAAACATATTCTCAAATTTCAAGATGCTCAGAATATTTTGAGGCCAATTCTGTGCACGAAGTTGTTTACATTGCTATAAAAGTAAAATTAGAAAGGAATCACGGTATTGGTGTTCGACGTGCAAAGTGCCATTATATATTGTTCCTTGCTTTGCTAAATACCACTCTCTCTACAGCAGCCATTTGAATTTTTAACTTTTATAAGTATTTGATTATCCCTGGGTTTTTCGTTTATTGTGTATATGGTATATGTTAACGTCAAACGAATAAGTAAATATTAGTAACAAAATTGTTAATTTTATCAAATGAAACCGTCTTTTTGATCCAACATTTTAACAGCGACACTAACATTGTGTTTGACGAGTATACCCGTTATCGCATGATTCTCGCGACACATATAGGTACGCGCTCTGAAATGGAGGCGCCACAGCTAACTGCTTAAAGGAGTAAGATATAAGAGATTCCTGGTCTTTTTTGTTAGGTATACAAAATGTACAGGGTGTCTCGCATAAGTATACATACACGAGTCACATGGATTTTTCGATGGCAATTACAGAAAGTATTCGAAAATAGAGATGAACGATTATAAAATAGAATATATCTCTAAGATCAGATTAATCACTAGACTGCGGATTTTATGCATTTATTGTAAAAATTCATAAGAGAAATACAGAATAATGAAAACATTAGAAAAATTTTTAAAAGTATTGTTACATTATTTTCAATTGATTAAAACTGTTATACGAAAAAATGCATTGTTATTGAATTCTTGTTTTATAAAGC